CCAATAAAGTGTGGAATGTTACCCTATCAGGTATGAGAAGACTGTATTTCAGTGCTAGGACTTTTGAGCTTTTTGAGGAGGAACTTTCAGGGAGGTTGTACACTCTTCACAGCGATGGATTTTCATTTTCTTGACGTGAAGGAATCTCATGTTACCATTAAAATCTACAGGGACTGTGGTATTTGTTGTTGTGCAGTCTATAAACAGTACACTGAAGAAATTTCACATTTTTTGGTGCATGTCAAGTTCTTTTGAGACACTCAGATGCTTTGGAAGACTGTTATTGTTTTTCCATATGTTTTTCCCCAAATCTAGTTATGCTGTTTGCTTATAATCTTCTGTTTGGCACACAGCTGTGTTGCAGAAGCATTTCCAAACTATTAATTCTCCAGCCCCCCTTCTGGGGAACAACTGTGTCCTTATTCACATACAAGGAAATCTTAGCTCTGCAAATGTCACAGGAAGAACCATATTGTCCTTGATGGAGCCAGTCTAATGATGTAACAATAAGAAAATAATTTGAAGAACTATTTCACCACATTGAAAAAAACCAAAACAACAAGCAACAAAATAAAACAAACCCAAACAAATGAGCAAAAAACCTGAAGAATCCCTCCACAAAAAATCCCCCCCCCCAATAAAACAAATGTATCTCCCCCAACCCTGGAAAAAACCCTCCCATACTAATAAGCCAATACAACGAAACTCCTCCATGCACATGCATACAGCTTTAAATAGATTAATATTTAGCTGCAATTAGGGTGTTGAGGCACTGGGATAGATTGCCCAGGGAGGTGGTGGAGTCACCATCCCTGGAGGAGTTGAAGAGGTGTCTGTATCTGACACTGGAGGATCTGGTTTAGGGTGTAGGGGTTCCAACAGCGACAGGTTTATGGTTGGATTTGATGATCTTAGACGTCTTCTCCAAGCTTGATGATTCTAGTTAAATGATGCATTTTGACTCTAAACCTGTCCCCACTTGGGAAGGAATGCTTGTGCCATGAAACACTCAGGAAAACCTGGAGTACTGTACTGAAACGGGTTCTGCGTGAACATGGCACTTGAGAAACTTGGCTTCTCTGCACTTCTGCCAAAATTACATCATGCAACGTGCGAATGGACATCGTTTCTCAGGTGTAGTGACAGGTTAGCATGTCAGTTCATGTCAACCCTGACATGTGGTCTCTTCCTGTGCTTCTGTCCTTGCCCAACACCTATGGGATACACTTGAGAACTATTATAATAGGGGTCAGCTCCATTTTTTTTTTTGTTTCTTTTCTTCAGAGGTATAGGAAGAGTTGAAGAGTTTTCCATCAGTCACTTTTCTTCAGAGGTACATGAAGAGTTGAAGAGTTTTCCATCAGTCACTAGTCAAGTGTTATTCCTAATGTGGCTTTTTTATTATTAACATGCTGTATTATTGATAGATCATTTTAAATTGCCTGTGTTGTGCCCTTTTCTATGTGGTGGCACCATCAGACAACTGCATTGATGGTGTCCTATTTCTTCATGTTCTCCATGGCCCCAGGAGGAGTAAGAATTGATCATTTTGCAATTGCTGAGATAAAATAAACCAATCTAAATTGGAGAGATAGATTATATTGACAATGTCAGCCTGCAGAACATGTTTGATTGCAATCCCCCTGTGGCTACAACAGCTTATCGACCTGTAGGCTCTCTGTCCATTTTATGTCAGAAAGGAGGGCAGTTTATTGGAGACTGAGATCCAAAGCTCAGGCTCTCCTCAGTCATTGCCAGATGGGATTATTATTCTAGGGGAAAAGATTGTTGAATGGTATAGTGACTTATTTCTCATAAGAGCATCAGTTTCACCTGCATAAGTTGCAGCCTGTGTGAACTGTAAGGGTTGTGTTTCTTTTCAATTGTTCAAAGCATCATACTTCTTTGTAAATTTGTCTTGGGGCCCTAAACCATGCAGATGCACATTTGAATAATGTTTTAATTGTTGTATGTTCCTTTCTGTTTTCTGATAGGTAAATGAGCTCTTAAACCTGTTGATCTCAGCTTCAGGTTTTCAAAAATCATGTCCTGCCTTGCCATGAGAGGTGATATTGTTGGTGATTGCTGGAGTTTGCCAGAGCTTTGCTGTCCAATGTTCTATGATTATAGGTTAACTTTGAATAAGGAAAGCACTTACTTGTCTTAGAGTAGACAAGCTGGGGTGTCTAGCATGCAGTTTTCACAGCTTACACTGTAGCTAAAGGGAGGAAAGTATGTGTGCATGTGTTTGCAGATTGCAGAAGGGTTTTCAGAATATAGGTGATATAACTTATGTGCTGAACAGGATTTCTGATTGAAGTTTGTTGGTTTTTTTAATTACCTTTCAATCATATTAATTATTAGGTATCAGAGTACATAGCATTGTGGACTTGTAAGACCTAGGTAACAAAGCCAAATCATGTTGCAAAGATCTTTGGATATTAATAGTTTGAGGCACAAATCTGTCATTTAAAGGAAATCTACACCTTTTACTTAAAATCCCCAATAAATCTCCACTGATTTTCAGATATGTTCTCACCTCACACTCACTCCTGTCCCTTCCACTTCCTTCCTCCCCCCAGCAGCGATTAGAACATTTTCATAGAATCATCAGTGTTGGAGGAGACTCCTAAGATCATTGAGCCAAACCATTAACCTGTCACAGCTGGAACCCCTAAACCCTAAACCAGATCCTCCAGTGCCAGATCCAGATGCCTCTTCAACACCTCCAGGGATGGTGACTCCACTACCTCCCTGGGCAATATCCCAGTGCCTCAACACCCTCACAGGGAAAATATTTCTCCGAACATCTAATCTGACTTATTGTGTCCCAAGGGCAGGACCAGGACTGAGCCTCATTGACCCTCATGGAGTTGTCCTCAGCCTCTGATCAAGTGGGTCCAGGTCTCTCTGCAGAGCTTTCCTAACCTCAGGCAGATCCACACTCCCACCCAACTTAGGGTTGTCTTTTAGGTGGCTTCTCAGGATTTAGAAGATAAAATCAACCTGTTTTAGTTGCCATTTTAATGTGTTTGAATGTCACTGGTGCTGGCATGGGGCTTTTCTCTTCCTTGCACACTCTTGTGCTCCCTCACATTGTTCCTAGTAATTGCTGGGATGCGTAGGAAAATGTGGAGGATGTCGCTGTCTTTATGCAGCTGATAAATAGCATTGAAAAAGATCATTGTTCTTACAGGTAAGTGGAAAAAATGCAAGTCATTCAGTCTTAGTGGAACTCTGGCTATGTTTGTTAGGGAAGGAATGAAATGGAGTGGGTCCTTTTCTCCACCCTGACTCATGGGCTGTGCAGGACTGTGCTGAGCTGGGATCTCCCTGGGATGAAGGGAGAATGAAGGTTTCTCCTAAAATACAGTCTTGTGCTGCCTGCACAAAACATGGTGAACAAAGCTTACCAAAAACAATACCCTCTTCTTGATGGCAGATTTCCCTGCTGGGTTACGTTCCTTCTTGAAGTATTTCTTAACTTTCTACTGGAAAAAGATAAACAACGTTGTTTAAATGCAGAAAACTTATATATGCTGTGTTAGTATGAGGGTGAGGAACTGGTGCAGAAGGAAAATGTAGTCTTAGAATGCTGCTGTTTTATTTGTTTTTTTCACATCAGAACTTGGAATGCCAGGTGTTGGGATACTTTTATAATGCTATATGCAAAAGCTAAATGGCCTTTATAAAATAGCTTCTGTTAATGTCTCTCAGGAGAATGTTCTGAGAAAGCAAATGTAATACATTAGGACTAGAATTTACTGTCAAGGTGTTGTCATATTTTAGTGGCAAAAAAATAAAGGTCAACATGACTTCCCTTATTTTTGAAAGAGTTTTGTTTTTTCTCTGTATGACTTTCTCCTTTTTCCCTAGCCTTTTCTTGCTTATTTTAGAAGAGTTCAAAGAAAAAAAAAATTGAGTAAGGATGATATGACATAATTTGCTGATGAGCATGTTTTAATATTTTGTTGCAGAAGGACTCCATGAAAGATGACAGAAGAAGTTATTGTTATTGCAAAGTGGGATTACACTGCACAGCAGGACCAAGAACTTGACATCAAGAAAAATGAGCGTCTTTGGCTATTAGATGATTCTAAGACATGGTGGAGGGTAAGAAACGCGGCCAACAGAACGGGATACGTGCCATCAAATTATGTGGAGCGAAAAAACAGCTTGAAGAAAGGTTCTCTGGTTAAAAATCTAAAAGACACATTGGGTAAGTCTTTTTGTATTTTGAAAGAAGATTCGTAGACTTGATGTGTTTCAGACTGGGAATGTAATGTGCATATAAGTATTTTTTTTAACACAGGTGTTTGGGTTTTCTTAGTCCTTAGTTTGAGGTGACATGGTGGGTGATTGAGGGGAGAAAGAGTCAGGGTGAATGGAGAATCATGTCAAAACACGTAACAGGTTTTCTTGCATTATATCCAGGAGAATAAAATGTTTATTTTCTTCCAGTTTCTCAGAGATTTTGTATTTTTAGTGTCTGAAGAACTGTGTGTTCGTAGAGATATTAAATGCCAAATCCTCTCCTCTCATACCCAGTTCTTTCACTTGGAAACAGAAGGATGTAAACTGAATGGTTCAGCACAGCTATCATAGCCAGAGCTGAGTCACTTTGAGTGGGATTGTACAGTGTGGCTATGTACAAAGTCGGGGTTAAGTTTCTGTGGACCAAGATGTGTATCTACTTACTAACTATTATACTTACATATAAATCCTTTGCTGCAGTGTATCATCCGTATAAAATAATCCAGCTTTGAAAAGCTCTGAGTGTATTTTGAAGAAATGCATTTGGAAGTCACGTGTGATTTTTGGTTTTTCTCTTGTAATTTTTAATGACTGATTAAAAGGGGCTTTTGCCTATAGCTAGAGAAAGCTAAATATAGTGATAAGTGACCATTTTACATACAGAGGTCAAAAAATCATGTTAGTGACATTTTAGGATGTCATGAATAAAAAAGAAAGAGGCACATGGAAGTGTTTGGAGGTGGGGGTTTTTTTGGGTTTTTTTTTTTTTTTTTTTTTTTGTTTTGTTTTTTTTTGTTTTTTTTGTTTTTTTTTGTTTTGGTTTTTTGCCTGTGTTTTGCCAAGTCTCACATAGAGGAAAACTTGCTCTGTTGCTGACTGCTGTACAAAATAACTATTCAGTATAAAATTGAGAATTTGGGATTGGACTTGTTAGAAAGCTAAAAGATTCAGTAAAAAATAACACGACAATAGCTCCTGTTGGTTTATCCTGTGCCAGTGTTGTGTCTAACAGGTTTGGTTTC